CTTTTTTGGAACTTTCTACAGTGACTGACACATACAGGCCTTAGCGTGTGATTAGCACAAGTTGCTTAGTGAGGCTTCTGCTACTTACTCACCCTATCTGTTTCCAAAGAAACACATGACAGTCAGTCCTTCTGTATAACCCGAAGCCCCACTGCCTCCTTCTCTACTAGAACAGAGTAAAGAGAACAGGAATAAGAGGAATACGAGGGAATTTTACAGCATGCATTTCATCCACACACACACTGCCGGAATGAGGATGAAGTCTGTGTATGCAGAGTTTTTACTGACACTCCTTTTAGCAACTTTCACGGGTGTCTGCTCTCTCACTGCGGCCTGAGCCACATCTCGCACTCCTGTAACACGGCATGACACTTCCTATCTGTACTGGGGACCGTGCTGTGTACCGTAATACACACAACGTCAGCTCCTCAGAATGAGCCCCGCCAGCATCGCTCATCGCTAGGAGCAGTGCATCTCCCCAGCACCACGTTTCGCAAAGAAATAATCAATCGAATTCATGAGAAATAACATTGTCTGCTGCTGAGGTAATGACATAATACCAGTCAGAAAATATTTTGCGATGCCGAAACATGATTTTATGATAAATTATTGACCCCTTAAGTAAAAGGTTGAGTCTGGATGGACCAAATTGCCTGCACTCATTTGTAACTGTTCTGGAGGTCCTAACAGCACAGCAGAGGAAGAGTGATCACAAGGCCTCTTCTCCCAGCATGGGCTAATGTACAGTATACTTCAAATAAGGATCTACAGATGCCCTGGTTCTCAAGATTACAGTGATTTTATCGAGATTATCCAAGTGAGCGAGACACATTAGGCACAAACCAGCACGTGACTCCTACACAACATGCAGTAAAAACACTGTCTATTGGGCAGGCAGTAGCAAACATTTGAAAGGACACAAGATCATGGCTTTGAGGCCCTTGTCCCTTCACTTTATGAACCCCAGACACTCATCCCCTGGTCTCATTATTGCAAACACTCCGTCGATCCAACTACCCGACATTATAAAGAATCTTCATTCTGTGCAATAAATTAGTAAATCGTCATCACAGTCAGCTCGCCACAAGCATAATACTGCTCATCAGTTGCAGGATCCACACACACTGTACAACCATACACAGATGGCACACTTCAGACGTACAGCTGACTGGACACTCCAGGCTGCCACAGGCTGAGTGTGACTCTGAGGAGCCTGTACACAAGTACAGAATCTTTCTCCCCCTCTGACACTCTTGCTCAAAAGAGTGTCTCTGTGTCATGGCTGCCTGATCTAAAGTGCTTTTAAGATCCTACTGCTGTGACCACTTTATAGACACGAAGGCAAGGCCAAATGAGAAGAGAATCAAATGGCTTTCTGTTCTGAAAAGATGGAAATACATTTTCACTGTCTAATCCCTTAATGCTGCATTGTCACATAAAAAGTGCTGGGGCAGTTAAAAAAAAATAGAAAATCCACAAAGAAAGCAATTTCATTAAATTCCCAAGTTATATTATAAAGGATTAAGCAGAGATTAAGCTTTGTATTGCATAATGTACACAGTAAGAAATTACATACAAGTGCTTGATTTCATACTTCCTTACTAATCTCCAGCAAGAATAAGCCTGTAATAAACATCACCTAAAGACAGTCAAACACACAGACACTTCTCTGCCAGTGTTCCCATTTCTAATTTGTTCCGCTTGATTGTTTTTATTCTTGCATTTTATTAAACTGATGTTTTTATAAGAAATAAGATTAATTCTTGCTCACAAAAACTAACCCCTTTCCAGTCACTGAGTAACCTGCGCTTACTCAAAGTAACCTTGAGTAGATCTTAAAATGGATTAACGTGTGTAAGACCGAAAATGATACAGTATCTGCAGGAACAAGGCTGCTGCGCTAATACAAGGAAATTTAATATAACGTAACTTGTATCATTGTTGCATGCCGTGGCACAGTGCTGAGTGCAGGTGAAAACAAGTCAACCTCCCATCTGCGTGACCCGTCCGAAGATCAACGGATCAAGAGACTGTAACCAGCCTGCATGGATTAAATACCACAGTGTGTAAAACCCAGACAGAGTAATCTGTCAAAGGCTCGTGTTGAGGTTGACTGCATTCACCCTTAATAACAGGTGGAAGCCAGTCCATCTGCCACACCCCCAAGGGAATTCAGGATCTGTTTAGGTTTATGACTATTATTTAGTGAAAGAGTAGCCTCAGGGACAACTTGGAGTCCACGCCTTTTTTTTTAACAATTAATTTAGTATTGCCAATTCATTTTTGATACACCTACCTAATTTGGCCAACCTCAGAGTTTGGCGTTTCTCAGGTCTCTGTTGGCAGCTGCGATGCCCCGCGACTACACGCTGGGTCAAACCCCCCCAACTCAGAGAGACTAAGGGGGTCCCGGGAACGCCCACAGCGCTGCATGCCTGTGCGTGCCCAGGAGGGGGTGTCGCCCGGCTGAGAGCCAAGAGTGCCCTGAAGCCACCTGTGTGCTGGGGAATCCCAGTCACAGTCGGCTAGTACCCTGGCCCAGGCCCATACCCAGGGTGCCTGAATCCTAGAGCTCAAACCGACTGAAGCTCCTTGCGCCTCATGAACAGCTTGTCCTCCCTGGGACAAACCCATAGCCCTAACCTTTCCCCCACACCGCTGACATCTGTAGCTACAGGCTGACACTCCATACAGCAAAGCCACCAGCACTTCTTCAAACATAAAACCCCACCCTGTAGCTGGCCTTAAATGGAAAAACAAGGCCTTGCTAAAAGGGGTGTGAGTGTTGATTGGCACTATCGAGGCTTTAGATAAGTCCAGCATGCCGAAAAAATGACACTAACATTGAACTATTTTTTGGAAATATTAATTGTGTGAAATAAATGCTCACTTAACGCATGACGAAACAATCCCTACGTCGTGTGTAAGAGTTTACAAGCATTCTCACTCTACTGGAGGATAACGGTGTATGACGTTCCAAGGTAAAATAAGACGGTGTCATATACGATGCGCTATAGGTAGTCACAGTCTCCACCCTCACGTGTAGGGTAACGAGAAAGAGCTCGTAACCCCCTCGGGTTTGAATCGAAACTGAGACACTGCTTGCCTGGTCAGTGCACCGTAACCTCTTTGCTCCCCACCCGTGGCGACAGTTTATTAAAAAGCTGCACTCTGGCACACAGAAGACGATCACTGGGAGCAAATCCTGCTTTCCTTTCTTTACTCCATTAGGCTAGGTAACCGTGGGTGGACAGCAGCCCTAGACGGGTTTGATCTTCAAGCCTGGAACACTCCATCCCATCATAAAACGGGAAGAATAAATTAGCGTCGTGCAGGAAGAAATGGTCGAATCTGACCACACAACATGAACATTTCCAATCAGAATTCAATTCTTTTCCAATTTTCACAATAATAACGGAGAGTAACATGTCTGATTTAAACAGTCTGTGTTTCTGTCCCCCACTATGCTTGCAGCAAGTCAAACTATCATTCTCACTCTGTTCTTTTAGAGAGATTTCTAAACAAACCCATGGTAACAAAACACATTTGAATGCGGTCTAATGCAACCTCCTGGCAGTGGCTTTAAACAGGACTAAAATTCTTTCATTAATTGCTCTTTCAAAAACACCACCAAAAAGATAAAAAACTGCATTCGTTTTAAGGTTGAGAATTAATTAACAGCTTAAATTTGGCCCTTTTAAAGTTTTCAGTTTCAAGATCCAGAGAACACTTTTTTATATGCCTATTAAAAAGTTCCATTACTGAACTTATTCCCAGTTTTCTTATACTTATGGAAGAATGAGAGATCATACATGCTGAGCTCCATGACTGATTCTAGTGCTTTAAGCCAAGAATTTGAAAAATTATTTGAATTGAAACACTCTACCGTTAATTAGCTTAATCTAGACACCTAAACATACTGAGATTCGGTACTTCTAACAGACAACCAATGTGATCTTTAACAGAAATTCTGCAACTGACTCGAGCTGGTTTCAAATTATGCTGTGAAAGAAATGGATCAATCACGCTCAGAATCTCGCCCCCCCCCACTCTAAACAACCCATTCCAATGAGTGGAATTTAGTGTATTTAGTGTCTCATTCAAAAAAATTCCACTAAACTCCCTTATTTTTATCCAAAGTAGGTCTGGGCACATTCTTCTCACAGAAGAGAATGAACAACAAAAGTCTTTTTTCCCCCCTCTTAAAAGATTTATTAATTAGTCAGTCAAGATTCTTGATTGGATGCCACATTCCCCGGCTACAAAGACAGGCCCGGTCAGGAGAAAACATAATTGAATCCGAAGATTCTAATTCATGACAAAGCACTGCCTAAACAAGGAAGACGAAGGAATTAGACAATTGACACAAAGGCAGTGTCCGAAATGTCAAATCCAAAGTTTCGCTCGCTGCTGCACGGCTGGGTGCTTACAAACTGAACCAGCACAGCCACTTCAGGGGCAGCTGAGTCATGCGTTAACATCGCAGCAATCTGGAACTCTGCCCACACCTGTGAGCTGAGGTAACAGCACTTAGATGTCTGTCTGCTTATTGCAATTTCTGTTTTAGTAATGCTTTTGCTTCTAGTGCATCCTGACCCACTATTAATTTGTGTCATGCTGTATATGTACAGTACTTCTGATGCCTGGGTACCACTTGCAGTACTGAGTTTACAAGTACATATCAGCTCTGGTGTCCTTATACAGTTATGGTAGGAAATACTGAACACAATTACATTTTGGGTACATTTAAGTCTGAAAAATAATAAACTAAATTCAGAGATACATGACATGCAGTACTAACTCTATGAAGGTAAATGTTGATTAAATGAACATAAAAACTGAATGACGCTGAAGACATTTAATTTTACTCCATGTGGAAGGACAGATGTACTGTCAAAACCTGACCAGATCTCACCTCCACACAATGCATCTCAGAGTACATGAAGCTTAAGATACTTGACCCCCCCTGAGACCCGAAACAAGGAATTTTGGGGTTTTACCATTATATGTCGCCCGTGGTTTTGTTAAACACATAACAAGGTGCAGATCCATTTCATCTGAGGGTACAAACTTGGAGCATACAGGGCACTTGAAACCTGCAAAAACAAAGAATGGAGAAGTATGTTAATCATATTAATGTTTTTCACCTGCACACACTTCAGCTTTACTTCATCACAACCAATATCAGAACAATATCCTTCACTTATTTCATTGCACCAATAGATCCTCCTTTCGGCCAGAGAGACTCCACTGTGATGCTTACATGTATTCAAATCTGGCAAGATGGCTTCAACATAACGTGTGCAGTCCAGATCCCTGTGTGGTACAAAGCCAAACACACCCCCCCCCCGTACCCCCTCCTTTGAGGGCCTCCCAGGGCAACACAGCAGTCCGCAGCCGGAGTGCCAGCTCACCGGCAGAACTCCTGCAGGGCAAGGCAGCGACTGGCCCACACGGCTCGCGAAAACTGGACCAGCCTGCAATCTGGGGTTCGAGAAGCACAGCCACAGAGGTCAGCGTGAGGATATCTGCTATCCGGGTAGGAGATTTCTGATGAAAGTTCTCCCAAACCCCTGCGCTTGCTTAAACTGCAGGGACAGCGTGATCTTACAGTTTGCATTTTTAACAGGAGTGTGCACTTGGGGTCGGGGGAGAGGTGTATTTCCGCTTTCAAAGGGAGTAAGATGGGATGTTAGAGCACATGACTTTGTATAGAGGGCTAAAAGAAGCATAACACTTCCCACACGCACGCACACACACACACACAAAACACCTTGGAGCATCCGCCAGTTTCTCAGCTTCCTCTTCCTCTGTTCTACATGCTCAGTCCTCACTTTCTTCCCCTTTTGGGCAGCTGTACAGGAGCCAAATATGTTCGTCCACTTGACAGATTGCACACACGCTGAACTCGCCGAGAAAATACATCATAAGTGCTCACATCACGGGTTTTCACCATTTATGTATTAAAAAAGTTCTAAAGTGTTTGATAAGGTGCAGTGGCTATATCAATAGTGTCATTGTAATTTACACTGAGCCGGTAAATGTGTTGAAAGAATGCTATAAGTCACAGATGTGGCAGATTCACAAAGCCACAGAAAGGGTATAGAAGCTATCTGAAGTTCTAAAGGTTTTTTTGGAGTTTTTATATCCTCTGGCAGTGGCGTCCTGCTTAGAAATGAGGGACCGATGCAGGCCAACGTGTAGCAGAATACATTTGCCGAAATAGAAGCCTTCCATCAAGAGACTCAAGCTAGAAATAAAGATAACAGGATTATTATATAAAGCTTAATTGCAAAGTCTACTTTGCAAGTCTCCATTAATCTGTTTAGTACAGTAGCTGTAGAAAGCATGTTACAAGCACAGTCCACAAAACCCTAATGGGAAACCAGGTTCAGAGTGGAGCGCTGGTCCCTCCTGAAAGCACCCAGAAACTGCTAACACCCTCAAAGCAGCCCAAAAGAGGGACCCCATGCGTCTGTGACACAAATATATTCGATCATCATGCATTTACAAAAAGATTAACTATTCCCATTCTGCGAATACAACACCCTTTTAGATAGACAAACAGCCACTTCTAGTTCAGCGCTTTTTGAAATCTATAGTTTTTCTTGGCCAGTCTTGAATTTTATTTGCTGATGGCAGGTGTTTGCCAGTCCTCCTAGTTTGGCATCATCTGCCAAAGTGAGTAGTTTACGCACCATACCAGAACCTATATCAATATGAATTAGGAAGAGTACTAGATTCTGGAACGAATGTCTGAGGTGCTTTACTCATTTCATCACCACAATCAGAACATTCGCTCATTATCCTTACTTTCCATTTTCTATTTATTAACCAGTTCCCAATCCAAATACACACATCTCCCTGAATGTCTACTGCCAGCGATCGCAGGGTTAAACTCTTATGAGCAACTTTGTCACTAGGCCTTCTCAAAATCTAAACAAGCAATATCATCTGCGCTGCTGTCGTTGCTTATTCAAAGAACTCTAGCAAGTTCACCAGGCAAGACCTGACCTAACCTTCCCAAATCCCTGCTGTCTCTTCCCTAGAATATTTCTTCCAAATAACTCATCCTCCAGTTGACTCTAATAGCTTACATTCAACTGGTCTAGAATTACTGGGATCAGTAATGTTTTTAATAATATTCTCCACCAGTTCCATATGGATCCAATCCCTCTTCAAGTCACCTGTTTTCCCCAGGCTGGCTCCAGCAGGGATGTTGGTTCACATCCCACTCACATAATGTTAATCCACACAGCCGGCTGTGTGGGGCGTTGGACTGGCTACACCGCTGACAGTCAGCTGAAACCCTCATAATAACACTCGTGACTGAAATAAAAATTAATGTAATTGAATGGATATATCTTCACTTCATGATTAGGCCATCACTGCAAAAGATAAAAAGGCCTCAAGTTACTTAAAACCCCATTCTCTCTTTGCAAGCTCTAATTTCTTTAATTCATTTCTAAATTTGAACTCCCAGTCGTGAACCTGATCATTAGTGTCGTGGACTTGAGATGTCTGATTAAAGGGTGCTCTCACTGGCCTGTTTTTTTGCCATTCAACATTATAGGGTTTAACTGGAATGCCTGACAGCTCGTGCAAATAAAACGAACATTCATTTTGAACTGAAGATGTCAGGAATTAATAATCTTGTGTACGGCTTTCGGGCTGTGTAATATAATTAAGACTGTAAATGTTGTGCTAGGACATTAAAGCCGAAGACCTGGGAAAGGCACCCCCTATGACACTAACTGCTTTGGACAGTAAACTGTGCCTTTGTGATTATGATTAAGAGTTGTGATTATCCAATAGCTGCTGTAAAGAGTTAAGAAATAAAAACTGTCCACCCTTTTCTGCACAAGATGCGGGTTTGTCCAGTTTCATACTGACTTATTATTAGTTTGTATGAACAGGAAGTAGTGTTCCAGCATATACCCCTTAAACGCTTATAGACTGCCAGTGTAGATTTAAAGAAACAAATGCACCAGGCTTTACTGAGCTAACACCCACACTGTGAAGAGGCGGCGTTAAGCCAAAAGTATGGGACATGCATAAGCTCAGACAGGTGGTCAGATTAAAGGCACCATTGCTGTACCTGTAGTGTTTTAATAGACAGGTGGCTTCACAGATTGCAAACAGATCGCAATACCATGTGACATCCTTTGGTAAGCCTAGTTGCCAAACATCACTTTGTTAGGCGGGCTAACACTCCTTGTCCATTCCTCATTCCTGACTGTGTCTCGAGTGATCTTGCTTAGAAAGCAAAAAGCCTATAACAAGGACGGGGAGCTGAAAGCAAAATCTCTTATCTGACGAAACCATACTTCTCCACAAGACCTTCCCAAAGCAAAAAGTACGATCACGTGCTCCAGAATCCGCACTCACACACGGTGCTGAAAAACTTTGAACTACAATTCTTTGTGCTGTGCACAGATATAATATAAATATTACACACATATATAAGAAATGAGGCCATTTAGCCTGTCTTGCCTATTCGATTGGTAGTTCATCGATGCCAGGTGACTTCATACAGGTGCATTAGCAGTTTGATGCTTATCTACATTCATCAGGGAACACTTCTTACTGACCTACAATAATAAAGGCATTGCAGTGCAGCAATTGTTATCATTTATCAAAAATGTAGTACTTCTGCATTTCGAACTGAAGCCAAAACAGAACAAACGCTGTGCAGGAGTTCTGCAAGGGGTGCAGGTAGTATTCCATTAATATGAAAGTGTTGATGGCTTCCAGAAAAGAAGCCCTTGAACTCAATCACCCTTCTTCCAGCCTTGCTGAACGAAAACGATGCAAGACTGCTTACTTGCACATTTAACTGTTTTGTAAACTTAAGCAGAATCACAAGCACTTAAAAAAAAATAATCAAGGAATCTCATTTGATCCAGGAAACTAATCAACACACTAATCAGTCTTGAGGGACTCTGCACAGAATGAGAATTATTAACCTTTGCCCTTCTCCGTAAGGAAACTTTAACCTTCACAAAGGAAGCACAGAAGACCTCTGCAAACAACTTCAAGGCCAGGGGAAAGGGAAAGTATCACCCAGGTCATCAGTGCTGCAGTGCAGGGAATCCAGACGAGGATTCTCTAGGCAAGGTCAAGCACTAAAGAAGTATTTCGATTCTAAGAATATATATATATAAGTCACAAAGGTTTCATCTGATTAGAAAATGAGCCACCCCATTAGTATATATCCACATTATGTAGTAAACATTAAAACTGCAGCAGAGATCTTGACCATTCAATGCAAAAATTACAAAAAAGTCTCTTAAGTGTGATCTTACAAGCTACCGTGTTCTCAGCACACCTGACTACACCACATAAGAGAGCACAGAATCACTAAACATTAAAACACTGGGCAACTAGAACGCAATACTGTTGCTGCTTTCGGTTCAAGGATTTAGAACCTGCAAGGAGCTGAGTACTGTGTCATTTGGTGGCTTGGCTCTTGCATTATTGGCTCTTGCAGTGGGGGCTCCTCCTGATAAGAGGAGCCCCCACTGTCACTGAGCAACTCACAAATCAAGAACCCTGACATTTTTCTAAAGTACAGCAAAAGGCATCTGCATCTTGTCTGGGTAAAAAGAAAAATCCAAATGACTAAACAATGTGCATTAAAACCACACACACACTGTGGCCTTTAACCAGGCTGGAGAATAAAAACATGTACAGTATAACTGGCTTTGTGGTTGCCTATGGCATAGAATTTCCTGTGTAAGGAAATAACTGTTGAGTATTGTGATTAGAACTTCCTGATTCAATATTCCTGGGCTGTGGAACACTTTTAATTTTGTTTATTACATGTCTCCATGGTGGCAATATAACATTGTATAAGGAAAATGGAATCCCTCAAACTTCAAATGAAAAGCAACCCTAGTTAATATTTTGTTTTGGAGTTAATTAGCACTCTGTTTTCCAGTTTTCCAGTAACGTCCGATAACACATGGCCTCAGTTAAGGAGGTCTGACTCACAGAACTGGGAGTTTAGCAGCAAAGTGGGTCCAACTGAAAGAGAAGAAGGAAAAACGAACAAAGCCTCGCGTTGGTTTCGTGTAGACTGATCCCGGTCCACTTT